CGACAACCTTCAGTCGTCTGCCGTGCGACTGAAGGATGAAAAACATCCGAGCCGCATACATGAAGTGGCATTTGAGTCGGGCTTTGTCCTTGCGCGTCAGAGAGACAAAAGGCTTCTTAACATTTGAAGCTTATCCAGTGCACTTCTAGGTCAGCCACTATGCTAGCGTACATCTGCCATTAAAGCCAGAACCGGTGAAAACAATGACCCTCGTTATGGAAAGCCCCACCCCCGCCTACCAAGGGGGAAAAAAAAACCCTAATACATATCCGACGTGCGCAACATTTGAGTGCACATAGAACAAAAGGTAGTGCCCCCCCCTCCTCCCCCACTTTCCACATATCTGCCGTCTCCCGTCTTGTTGTCTGAGACATGCTAAAGTGTTTTGTTGACAGGATTGTCCAACATGTTGTGCTCACTGTCCTACATTCTGTCAACGACACGCACGACGCGGGTTCCCGCTGTTGTGCCCCCGACACACAACGAGGTGGAAAAAGTCAATCCCTCTGGTGGGCGAGTATATTCAATCCAATGGCATTTCAGCTCCGGCGGGTTGCCGCGTAAAAAGAAAATCAACTGGAATGACGTGAACGTCCGCGGTTGGCACGGGCTCATTTAATGAGAGTCAAAACAAAATCGATTAATCGAGAACTAATCGATCATCAGATTAATCGACAACTATTTGAAACAGCGAGTAATTGTTCACTGGCACCGTTTAACTTGAGATTGCCCTGAGCCATTGATTTCAGCCTCTCAAGAGTAATAATTCTTTTTCTGATTTCTGTAGTCATTTTTTTATCCACTACAGAAAACATTATACACCCCCCCCCCACCACCACACCCAAATGACCCTGACCAAACGCATCACTCGCTGCCGCAATGCCGCTTGTGCTCTCAACAAAAGGTGATCCAGGCGGACTGAAGGGTAAAAAAAAAAAAAAAAAAGAATGAAATTCCCTGAGAGACTCTTGGCAGTTGGAGAAAGGAGGCCCAAAAAAAAAATCCCATTAGGGGCCAAGGGGAATTCAAAGGGGGAAGCGCCTGTTTTGGCCCTTCGCCTCGATCTATTCCTGTCCACGCTGAGCAGATAGCCAGCGATGGGCTAAATGGAGGTGGCGCTATTTTGGTGGGAGAAGAGCGAGGGGACGGGGAGGCTTTCCATTTGAGTTCTTCCCGTAAATCCGAATGAAAAGTGGACGGCGAAACAAGCACGGGGCATTCAAAGGTGCTTTCTACGCCGCTAGGCAAAGAGAAAGCAACAAAACTCCTCGGCGAGGAAAGTAGCCGAGTGGGCCACAATGGAGAGCGGCCTCACACGCGTCTGAAAGGATCGGCGGGGGGTGCGGGACATTGTGACTCGCCGTGTGAACGGCAGGTGCGCAGCTGAGCCGGCCAATCAGAATCAAGAGATTAACTACAAAAAAAATAAATAAAAAAAAAACATTTGGCAGAGAAGACTTATTCAATCACATGTTTTGTAACACTAAGGGAGGTGGCGCACCCCCGCAACACGGCACAACAGAAATGAAGACTTCAATTTACACTCTCGCATTTGGTTAAACCATATCTTTCCCCTTTTCCCCTGTCATCGAGATGTTGGCCTGTTTTACTGCCACTTCTCCTCTTGCTTCTGCAAATGGCACAAGTTCAAAGACTCTTAATGTCTTGTCATCCCGAAAGATTTGGGGAAAAAAACCCAACGGCTTCCGACCAAAAAGCAGAGAAAAAAAAAAGAAACAACTTTTTGGTGAAAAGAAGCACATCATGCAGAAGAGTGACTTTGAAGATAATATTTTTTGTGTGACTTTTTGATATGCTGTACACCATTCACTCCATGACGTGTCATCTTTTCGCTTGATCACACACTCTACTACCCACCACAACACGGGGGTGGGTGCTGGCCATGGGGACTCGCCGTGTGAACGGCAGGTGCGCAGCTGAGCCGGCCAATCAGAATCAAGAGATTAACTAAAAAACATTTGGCAGAGAAGACTTATTCAATCACGTGTTTTGTAACACTAAGGGAGGTGGCGCACCCCGGAACACGGCACAACAGAAATGAAGACTTCAATTTACACTCTCGCATTTGGTTAAACCATATCTTTCCCCTTTTCCCCTGTCATCGAGATGTTGGCCTGTTTTACTGCCACTTCTCCTCTTGCTTCAGCAAATGGCACAAGTTCAAGGACTGCTGATGTCTTGTCATCCAGAAAGGTTTGGGGGGAAAAAAAACAACGGCTTCTGACCAAAAAGCAGAGAAAAAAAAAACAAAAAACTTTTTGGTGAAAAGAAACATATCAAGCAGAAGAGTGACTTTGAAGATAGTATTTTTTGTGTGACTTTTTTATATGCTGTACACCATTCACTCCATGACCTGTCATCTTTTCACTTGATCACAACTCGACTACCCACCACAACACATACTCTGCTTCTTGTTCTTTCTACCCTGCATACACAAACCCTGTTGGGATGTGAGATGCCGGGGGGAGGGAGGGGCCGGGGAGTAGGAGGAGGGCAAGGGAGGAGGGACGGCCCCACCGGGACACTAAGCGGGAAATAATAACCACGTGTGAGTCTGTATGTGTGGTGTCTTATCAGGTCATCTCCTTACCCGGATCCTCCTCATGGCCGCCACAATCTCCATGCGACTGTTGGGCCGCGACACGTCCAGGCTCCCCACATACTGCAACACACGCATCACATTGTATCAAATGACCATTTTTCATTATACCCTCCCCAATAAATAAATAAATAAAATACTCTGTGGCACACGTGTATAAGTTTGGGGGGAAAAAAAAGAAAAGAAAAAAAATCAGCCCTGGCTGGAGTCCTGTGAGGACGTTGTGTATTCTTCCTGTACCTCAAGGCTCCCTTCTGGTGTCCTCAAAATTTCCAAAACTATAGAGTACACGAGTAAAAAAGATGGAGTTGAATTTCAGAGCAAAATCGTGAGTTGGACTGCGTCAATGTTAGTTTTCCTTATCGGTATGTTGAAAATGGTCAAATCACGTGTTAAAAGAATCCTGCTTTGAAGCACGACATGATGGCAGGTGGTCTCGTCAATGGGTTGAGCACCCTAAGTAAATAAGACAAGCAATCCAATCTCATATTGAAGGTAATTACAAAGTATACTCGGGTCCTCTAAAAGCTGAATTCTGTTTTGCTGAGAGCTTAATAATTGATGGCAGAAACACAGCGAGTTGAAAGCAAAGTCGCCGCGTCTTCAAGCAATCTTTTGCCCACAAACTCCTCTTATCCTGCCGCAAATAGACACAATCAATTTTAATGCATTTACTTCATTACACTGACTTCAGTATCCTTTGGGATTAATTGTACTTTTCAGAGCAGTTCTATTTTTATTACAAATATATATTTCAATTCATTTCCCCATTGGACTTTTCTTGCGGGTTGGGAGGGGGGCAAATTTCGGAAACAGATTTTTTGGATACGCTTCTCATAGTTACTTAGTTCTTGACTCGTATTTTTCTTTCATTGAATACGCAGGGGGACTACTGTTTTTTTTTTTTGTTTTTTTTACTTTATTCATAGTATTTTCAAAGTAACACTACTATTAATAAAGTACAACAATTGTTTAATCTTTCCACCTGTACTCACCTGATACTCAGTACTTGAGTATTATTTTCACCCAATAAACTACTGACTTTAACTTCATTATTTTGAGAACTATGTTTGCTCTTGCCTGGGTCATATTACTGTTAAAGTAAAAGTACTCTTGCTTAAGTACAATTTTTTTTGGATACTACCCACCTGTGCTTTACAGTTGAGCGCTTGAGTATTTTTTTTGCCCAGAATACTAACACTGACTCAAGTGTTTTTTTTAAGACTACGTTTCACCTTTAATTGAGTCATCATGTTCTAAAGCAACACTACCTGACAAGTTTTGTCTACTCTCTTCATCGATATTTACCAGTTAGAGTCGGGGTTATTTTCCAGTGAATACTTGCTCAAGTGGTTATTTTTTAGACTACTTTTTACTTTTACATGAGTCATCATATTCTACGGTCTTAAAATCGTGACTTGAGAACAATTTTGGGCGACTCCAGCCAACGTCTGTAGTGTGTGTAACGTGCGCGTACCTTGGCTTGGAAGGAGATGCCATGCTGGTAAGCTTCCTCGTTGTGCAGAGGCAGCCTAGCGTCGGTCACGTCGTTCACCAGGTTGTAGCGGTTCCTCCTGGCCGGCATGGCGCAGCCCCCGCAGCCGCGGCGCGGACCTCACGACAAGGGTCCGGGTCGGCGCTCCTCCTCGCCCCGGCGGCGACTGAGCATCGCGGTCGCTCCGAACCGGAAGGAGGGAAGGAGAAGCGTCAATGCGGTGCTCGTAAATTAGGCTGGGTGATGGCGTCCGTAGTGGTGGGCTGCGGGGAGAGGGGGGGTCGTGCTGCAACACAAGGCAAGCAAGTCGGGCTGGTTGGCGTCTGGGCTGCACTTAACTTGGCTTCCCGCACAAAGCAAAGCTTTCAATGGGGCAAAGTTCCACCGAATCCTTCAGTTAGGCGTCATGCGCGCATTCTGCCCACACTCGAGCTCCCCCTGGAGGCCAAACGTGGAGACGCTTGCGGGACACTCAATTTGCGGCTTCGAATGTCTTGAATGTCACGTTACGAAATATACGAAAAAAAGTGTATTCAAATAATTCATAATTTTAAACTGAACGTAATCAACATAAATTACGTAATCTTTTTTTTTTTAAAAAACGTGTTAAAACTGTCAAGGGCTTGAGTAACGACTGGGGAAGTAACCAGGAAAACCAAAATCTACTCTACCACCTTTACTCAGCACGTGAGTCACTTTTGACTAAATACTAACGATTAGTCACATTATTATTATCATTTGGAGTGCTGTTTTAGTTTCCAAGTAACAGTAGTCGTCCTTGAGAGCAATAGTTCAGTGAAGGAACAAGGCCAAACTAATGCTGAGGCTTCTACACAGTTGCACGTTACCGATGTTGTTCGTGTAATAAAAGGCCGACAGCAGTCCTGCAGTCGAACAATTGTTTAATTGATCAGTAAGAAGATTCATGAGCACACAATGTCCATACGGCCCAGATTTTAAAACAACAAAAAAGGTTTCATGTTATCTTGTTCCAACTGCAGTTAACATGGCTTAACAATGAGTGTGTGTGCTCGCGTTTCCTGGTGCCCACGTACCTGAGAGCCGAAGGAGACGTTAGCTGACAAAATTGCTGCTACGTTGTAAACATTTGGGACAACAACAAAGATACAAATAATACATCGCAAACACACACAATCAATTAGTCCCTTTTTAATTGAATCGGGAATGGATTTTGCTGGACAAAGAGTTCAGTAACAGCTTGTAAAATAGTATTTCCTCAAATAGTGTCATCCCTTTTTAAGAGTGCATTGTCCATTTGAATTATTAAAAGCCGCACTTCAAATAAACGCCTACCCCCACCCAAATAAATGTTTAATGGGTTACCATGCGCTTCCGATGGCCACGACTCACACAGTCAATTTGCTGACCAGCTGACAGTTTGGCGAATTAACTTCTTGTTAACTCCAAAGAGCGGCGAGCAAACTCTACACTCTTTTTCGTTGATGCTCATGTCACTCACCAAGCCGGGTCTCGCCTTTTTATAGCCTACACACTCAAAAGTCACAGATACTTCATTAGGATATGAGGATGGCCCCAAGTGAAAAAAAAAAAACGCTTACATGCACATTATTGTTTACAATAAATTTCTGATTAATCAATCGGATAATGGCTAGAATATTCTAAATGGTTTAACTTTTCTACACTCACCCAAAGAGAATAATTAACATTTTACCCTGAAATAGATGCACAGTACTCTCAACAGTTGACTCAATAAACGTCCCTTGGGCACTGTAAGAGGAAAACGGGGTCAATCACAACTCATTTTTCATTCCGCTAAAACTGCAAGCGAGCAAACGTTGTGCTAGAGAACATCAACAAAGCAAAAATAAAACACAGTTTGAATCTTTGAAGTTAAGAAGAAACTAAATACATTCCAAGTTGTGGATCAGGAAAGGCAGAGGCTCAGACTTAATCGGTAAGGTAAACCCAAAATAAATCTTGTCGTGTAAGTACATAATACAATCGATACGACGACGGTTAAGGTCCTGAAAGGGAGCAATCACAAAATGGACGCCCTACTTCTGAGTTCAAGGCTTCACACCCAACAAGCAAGCAGCCAAGAGAACGCAAACCATTAAAAGGAACAATTACAAAAATTTTCCACATGTTCACACAATTCAAACAGAGGTTGCAAGTCGGTTACAAGAATAAATAAATAAATAAATACAAGCGGGAGCTCTTGGGAGCGTCGCCAGGGGTACCAAGACGACGGCTCTCACTCCGTGGTGCCGGTCATCCTCTCCTCGTCGCCTTGCTTGTGATGCTGCAGACGGGCGTACGTCACCGCGTCCCCCCTGATAGGTGAGTGGCCATTATAAGGCGTTAGCGTAGCGCGGGGGACCGGGAAGGAGTTTGTTTAGCGGCGATCAAAATGACGCCCCGTAAGGATGTTAGGACATATGGAATGAGACAAGTATTCTGAACACAGCCAAATGAAAGCATGACTGTCTCAGAACCGTTCAGTTGTATTGAACTTTTTCTTTATCCCCCTCATTTATCAGTCCACAACTTTATCGTCATCACTGTAAAGGGATTTTAACAGCAAGTAAGTAACCATTTAGTGTTTCAGGGGCAGAAAAAAATGATTCATTAATAATTAGTATTTGTAATAATGATGTGATTGGGTCCATTATATATAATTTTAAAAACTCTGCATATTCGCAAATGCCAAACCAGGAATATACGCATTATCAGCTTTCTGCAAAAAACAAAATAATTAAAAAAATAAATAAAGAAGCCTTGAGTGAGCAACCAAAAGTGCCTCATATTAAATACAAATTCATGTCAGGGTATTCGATTAAGAAAAGAAAAAAAAAGCCTTTTTTTAAAATGAGAGTCGACTGCTTGTTAGTGGGTGTTTGACAGACACAGAGACAGTTAGAACTTTTTTTTTATGTTTTTTGGGCTGAAAAAATGCTGCTTTAAGAGTGCTCTTACTTTTTCCCTAGAGATGCCAGGCCATACAAGACCCCGGTGGCGAAGGCGATCGCATTCCCGAACAGCGTGGTGAAGGAGAAACTCAGGAAGATGGGGAACAGCGCCATCCTGAGCCCAACACAAGTCAGTCGATAAGTCTGGGTCATCATTTGCCCACCAGACACAAATGAGTCGGAGCTTGACTTGCAACATGAATCCGTTCTGTCACCTAGCTCTAATATCTTGGATTCAATCGATATTCCCCAATGAAGTTAATTGGAATGCTGCGAAATTCGTCTCGTGTTTTTAACAAAACCAAGGCAGTGGGGTTGATGCCTCACCCGCAGTAGAAGAAGGATTTCTGCCAGGGTCGGAAGCGGTCGGCGCGGGCCGCCACGGCATTGGCGAACTCAATGAACTGGCAGCAGAAGGGCACCTCGCACAGGAATAAAACGAAGGCGTTCAACCTGGACGCAGCAGCACATCAACAACATCATTGTAAATTTGTGGGTTTATTTTAGGGCAACCCAGCCAAAATGCTTCTAACCAAATGACACAAAATGTCCTACGGAGCTCTTACGGAGCACATCAACAACATCATTGTAAATTTGTGGGTTTTTTTAGGGCAACTCAGCCAAAATGCTTTTAACCAAATGACACAAAATGTCCTTCGGAGCTCTTACGAGTTAAATGAAACAGTAGAGATACATTCTAAGTAGGAAATGCCTACTAAGTCAATGACTTACACCATCCACACTCCGGCGGCGATGTTTAAAGGGTTTACAGTGACACAGTTCCATACTCCTGCGATGGCACAGGCTACAAAGAGCACAAAAATTAGTACACATAAAACAAAAACCACCTAAATAATATAGATACAACAATGTCAACAAAAAAACGTATAGGATTGACACGTGTTGACTGACACTCTATGCACGTATTTCCACCCTGCTTAATAATACAGAGCTCATGGAATATGCAGCTGTGGTTAGTGTGACACGGGCACATTTTAGTCTGCGGTGTCAAGTGTTGCTGATGATGCTTTTTTTCTTTTGATGAAATCCAGGCTCTCTGCTCGTACAGGCGGGGCGCAAACAGCAGGTGGACAAGCTACTGCAAGTGGGTGACGGCTTTTTGTTGAGTTGTACCTCATCACTCAGTAAAGTGGACCCGTGTTATTTGCGGGAGTTGGGGGGACTGTGCCGGCCTGCGAATAGCAAAAATCCGCGTATAATTGACGCCGGTTCAAATGCACCTGGGAATAAAATATTTATAATTTTGAAACGCCCCCTTAATTAAATTATTCCAAAAACCCAGAGAAATCTTCAGTACAGTATCAATTTTCCATGAAGAATGGGGGTTGAATGGCCGCCCCCCCCCAATCATGAAAACATTAAATGCCCTCCCCCCAAAAACCGTTGAAAAAAAGATCTGCGAATAGGTGAATCAGCTGGTACACGACGGGTTTATAATGAGACGTTTTGCCACCAAGCACGTGGATGAACGTCTGTTATTATACAAAACACAGCTTTCGTGTAAACCGTGTCACTTTTTACGACCTAAACAAGCGTGACATTAAAAACTATATCCATAATTTTAATTAAAAAAAAGTAATCAACTTACATATTCCTCCCAGCACACCGGCTATTTTGCAAAGCCACCGGTACCACCACGTCATGCCATCGTCCTCCGGAGGGGAGGTTTTGCTGGTCTCCTCCGAGTTCATCCTTTCGATCGAAAGCTACAGCAAATCTCGATTTCTATTAAAGACTTGTCGGTGGCGTCACAACGGCTCCGGGCGCCGTCGCCAGCCGTACCGTGGAGCCGAAATGGAGCCTGTGGTTGCTAGCGGCTAATGCTAACAAGCGCCGACCAAAACATGGACGTCACTCTTGACTTCCTCTTGGAAAAATCTAAATTGTGTTACGATTTAATTGTGACAACAATAATTACAATGTTGCTAATGTAAAATGAGATACAACGACAAGAAAGTAGTCAGCGGAAGTTTTGGTTTCCTTTTCCGGTTTGCTGCAACCGCAATGCATCGTGGGAAGGCATTTCAAGTCCGATTGCGTTTCACAATCAGCAGATTCGTGTTTTTATTTTTAGACAATTCTATTGAATAAAAATGAAACAACATGTGAGCACTTAATTTATTCAGAAAAAATATATTTCAAATTATTTAAATTCTTTCGCGACACGAGAGCTAATTTCAACCAATTAAACTGACTCACCACTGTAGGTGGGCGGGATGTCTGCCCCGCTAATCAATCAGATCATGTATTAATTTCAGAGGCTATTTTATCCATAGTTTTGATCTTGGTTAATGTAAAAAAATAAATAAATCAATAAAAATAACATGAATCAAATTATTTCCATCATATCTTTGTGATGGACAAAATTACACAGAACATTGTTGCATTTACCATACATCCTTAAAAAAAGAGGTTAAAATATGAACAAAATACCACATTTTGATAATGATCAGTAACCAAGAGGCCCACGTTTCTTTTTCTTATTAAATATATATATTTTTAATATACAGGAGAACACATCATGATGATTCATGTACTATAGTAAGCTGAGCGCATCACTCAGACAGCAGCGTTGAGGGAAGTGGCTTTAATGTCCTCCTCCTGGTCCGCCTCTCCTCCATGATGGGGGCCATTTTTCTCTTGGGGGCGGGCGTGTGGCACAGCATGTCATCAAGCGTCTGCTGCCTCACCTGACCGGCACGCTCCAGCTGGGAAATGACCTGCTCCACTTCAGCCGCTTGCCCTTCGCCGTCAGTATGAAGACGCAGCTGATCCAGCTGGGAGTGAATGAAGGAAATGTCAAGGACGCTATTCTCACAGGGTATCAAATGTGTGACAAGATGCTCTCACTTACCACCTCTTGAGAAAATTCCGGCTTCCTGACAAAGGACGGGCTTTTGGAAAATTTGACTGCTGATAAAAGGACCATGACGGCCTCTTCTGTCTGTCCGGACATCGCCAGTAACAAAATCTAATAATTAACGTGA